GCTCCGAGCAGCCTCTCCTCCTGCCTCCCTGCCTCCCTGCCTCTCCTCCTGGTCGTCGCTTCCTTCCCTGCCTGCCTGTGCCCCGCGGAGCCAGCCCCGGCCCCCGGCTGCTAATGAGGGCCGGGGTCCGAGCCGCGCCCCCCGGGCCCGCAGCCCGCGCAGCCCCGCGCAGCCCCGCGCAGCCGGGCCCGGGGGCTGCCCACCTCCAGGTATTGTTTTGCAAACACAGGGGGTCATAGATGACAGCGCAGACATAACAAGGCGGCTGTGGCCGCGAGTGTTTGTTGTCGCAGCGTGCCATATAACTTCTGGTGATTGTTACTTTTCCTCTGATGAAACCACGTATTTATAAGTGATTTATTTTTTATTTTGTAGCACAAACAGAAATCCATAAACTGTCGGTTCAGCGCCATTGACTCTTTGATCAGTTACTGGGCTATTTTTTCCGTCTCCCGTCAGCGAGGAGAGATTAAAAGCCTTTATTTTCAGCCCTTTTTCTGCTGCTAAGGTACGAGCAGAAATGGACAATAAAAGTGCACTTCAAATGCATCCTCTCTGCTCCTTTATTCGGCGCTAACGAAACTTATAGCTGCCTATGTCAGCCTCTTAATTACACCACTACAGCGATTTCCGAAAACATTTAGCTGCTGTATACAAAGGAAATAAACCCACATTGTCAACTCGAGAGCGCTCCGGAGTTTAAAAGGCTGCTCTGTAACCCAGCGAAATAATTATTGAAGGGTAGGACGCCTCCGTCTTTGTCAGAGTAATTGTACTTGGCCTGTCAGCTCTGCTTTTCTGCGGGAGGAAATCCCACTCTTTTACTGCTGCAGGCTTTTACACCCGACCCGGCTTCAGGCAGCACAAGCACAAAGTTTCTGCGGGGTGGAAGCGCGGCCGTGCGCGCAGCTTGCGCGGGGCCCAGCCTGACCCGGGGGACCCTCCTGCCCGTGCCTCGGGGGCTGCAGAGTTCCCAAAAATAATGGATGTGGGCAGGCTGGCCCCGGCCGGCAGGGCAGAGCAGGCAGCGGTGTTACAGCCCGGCAGATTGGGGGAATGGTTTTAATTTCCATCGCTGGGATCTGATTTCCAGAACACTGGAAATTATTCCCCATTCTCACCTTCCTCCCTATTCCCACAAAAGATTTTTAATAAATCAAAATTAAAAAAAAAAAAAGTCGTGAAATGTCTCTCCGGAAAAAAAATAAAAATAAAAATAATGAAAAAAGAAATAAAGTTGATTAAATCCCAAGATCTGTGTCTATAATTGCTGTGGTGAAACGCTGATAACACGTAGTTATCATCGGAAAAGTTGACCAGGACAGGTTAAATAATTTAATAAGGAACTGCTTGTAATTATGTTATTTACAAGGTATGACAGAGGTTTGAGGAAGAAACAGAAGCTGATCTCAGGGAAATGGACGGGTTTGGGTGACCCCTGGAGCATGGAGTTTGAATTATGGAGATGGGGGGCTGAGAGGTGAATATGGACTAGAGGAGAACAAGATGACTTTTCACCTCAGCACATTTAACTTTTAAATCCAAATAAACGTCTCGCGTTACTGGATGGTCGCGTTATAAAAGAAAAAGGACTAATCCCGGCCAGTTTCGGAGTGTGGAGAAGGGGCTGCCCTTTCCTCACCGAGGAAAAATATCGCAAAAAAAAAAAAAAAAAGTTACAGAGGGGGGAAAGTGCATTTTAAAATAAATCTGGGTAACTCGGTGGGATTTTTTTTTTCCCTTTCCTTTCTCCCTCGCTAAATTAATTATATCAAACATCTGTTCCCATGACGTTGTCCTCCATGCCACACACACCACGGAATGATCTCAACGCTGCCTCGAAAAGCAGCAGCACACGGTTTTCTCTTTCCCAAATATCCTCCGGTAATCGGCAGCTCCCCGCTTTCCTCGCTCAGGTAAATGGAAGGCGGGCGCGCTCCGCCGGTTTGCTCGCCCCCCACCCTCCCAAGCACGGGCACAACACAAACTTGGCAACTCGCGCGGCAAGGAGAGCGTAAACTTTCTCACCTGTTTGGTCATGGAGTCTATTAGCCGAACGTACAGGTCCTGCTCCGTCCTGACTCCTGCGGAGGGAAAGCACAGCCAAAATTCCCATCAGGATTTCGGCAGCGAACCCCCCCAGTCCCACAAGGAAAGGATGAGGTCAGGCAATTAACCGCAGCGGGCAGGGATCGGCCCCGCGCCGGCTGCAGGGGAAAATTCAAATTTTTTTTTTAAAAAAGTAAAAAAATGAATAATGATAAAAATTAGCCGGGAGCCAGCCGGTGGCGGGGGTGTGCTGAGCCCGGCGCTCGGGGGTCGTGGCCCGGCCAGTCCCCCCGGCCCCGGGGAACGCGCGGGACCGGGGCGCGGGCGCGGAGCGGCCCCCGCGGGTTTTCCGAGCCCGAGGAAGCGGCTCCGCCGGGCCGGGGCTCCGCTCTGCCCGCTCCCAATAATTGCCATCAATTCCCAAACTCAAAAAAGAAGTCTCTGAAAAGTGCCGCTGTGCCCGAGCAGCCATCGATCCCCTTTTTTACTTTCCACTTCAAGCCCAACCGGTTAATCATGTGAAGTACCATTGACTTATCGATCCTTTATGTTTTGTTTTCCTTATATGCCAAGGAAAGAGCCGTGTTTACACGCGTGTAATTTTAATCTCGAAATCTTTATACCCTTTATCCCCCTGCTCCCCCCCAAAAAAAGGCCTCGGAAGGAAAATCAGACTTTTCTGAGGCACACAGACGCTCAAAAATGAGAGAACGACAACTTACCATTGCTATACAATAACTGAAGTTTATAATGAATCCCATTGTTAGTTTTTTCATTGTTTGGCTCCTGCAAGCAACGATAAATAATTACATTTAGCATGAAAAATATCGCCCTCCTCCTGCTGCCCATTTTTCTCGTCCCTGAAGCGGCTCGGAATTAACAGTTTGCAGAAATTCAGCCCACGGTCACCTTTTTTTTTTTTTTTTTTCTTTCCTGGTGTGGAGCGCTGATGATGTCATTAGTTCGGTGCAAATATGTCATGTTTTGCCGTTTTCCCGGTGTTTAAAACAAGCCGGGGCCGCGGCGCTAAGTTTGTAACCCCGGGGTTTATTCGGAGCGGCCGTGAGACCGGGGGGAGCCGCACGTGGCGCGGGCGCCGCGGGAGCGCCGGGAGAGCTGCCGGGCTGGCAACGGGCTCTGCTCCACTCAATTACGCTTAAAAAATTTAGGGGGCAAAAAAAAAAAAAAAAAAAAAAAAAAATTTGAGAAGACTGGCAGACTTACTTTCTCTTTCTCCACAAAGTCCACAAAAGCTGTTCTCTCAATCTCCACCGGCTGTCCCTGCCTGTCGTACAGAGCTAAGACGAAGTGGAAAAAATTGGATTTTCTGAGATTGGAAGGCGGCTGTTTCTCGAAATGTGCCCGAGCCAGCCCCACGCCGCTGCGGGAGAAAACAAGACAAGGCGTGGGTGAGAGCGGCGGGAAGGGGCGCGCAGGCTCCGCGGCCGCGGGGGGATGCGGGGGGATGCGGGGAGCGCGGAGCGGCGCGGAGCGGGGAGGCTGTAACTGATACGGGGCGGGCGGG